AGACAACCTCTCGTCAATATGCGTTTTTTGCATTGCATTGCTGCAAAAAACGCATAAAAAGTTGCTGAAAACTTTCCGCAGACCTCCACATTAATAAATTTCTTTTGCTTCCTGGACGAAACTGGAGTGCAACTTAAAAAACACCGTAGATTGGTAATCTATCATAGTGGTTTTCCACATAACTTGTTGTAAATGAAGTTATAGCACTTTTTCAGGAAGCAAATCAGTGGGTGGGCCAAATGACACGTGAAATGATCTCCTCAATTATCAAAGCGAGCGAAATTTCAGCGGATTTACAACTGATGTTGCTCAATGCAGTGTATTTCAAAGGTGCATGGAAGGAAATATTCGACAAAAATTGCACTAAGCCCTATCAGTTCTATATTGACTTGCACCGACGGATAGAGGTAACGCACGTCTAAGTACGTAATGAATAGCAACTGCAAACTGCCTGGTGTTTGGGCGATATTTCTCTGAGGACTGCTCGGAGTGGTCGATTGTTGCCTCGGAATGCATACTCAGCGATGTGTTGAGTCTGTCTGTTGTCAGCAAAGCCAGTAGCGGGTCCTGTTCATCGGATTTTACTTTCTTGCAGTGCTGAAACAACATCCTCCATGGTCTCAGCAAGCCGGGAATCTGGCTGCTTTTATGGTTAGATGCAAGAACACAATAAAGAATTTCAGATGCCAGTGATGGCAACATTTGGCTATTTTCCGATTTTCGAAGATGATGAAGTGCAGGTGCTAGCGATGCCATATGAAGGCGATGAAAATATGAATATGTACATCATTTTGCCCCGAAGCCACTTCGGTCTAGAGGGCTTTGAACGCAGTCTTAATGGTTCAAAGATGATGCACTATTTTCAAAACTGCAAAGTATCAAAGGAATTTTATGTAAGCTATCAATTTCGAAAAATAACGGCAAAACAAAGCTTTTTGCAACGCCACATTCAAGAAACGCTTGGGCTGATATGAGCGAAAAAAGCCTAAACGTGGTCGTAAACTCACCAGAGCTGGAAACCGATCCGTATGAATCCTTCATAATGTGCGTGAAAGAGGTGCTGTCTATGAATGCTACTAGGTAGCTTTCCAAAGAGCGTTTTCTGTTGACTCTTGCTGCCCATTCGTTCCGTATGCCTTCACCCCGTGAGAAGCGAAGAGGAGGTGGAAGGGGAGAGGGGGGGAGGTCAACCTCCTTGTTTCCCAGATACGCTGTTTCCTGTGCTATCTATAAGAAGAATGTCACATTTGTCAATTTTAATTTCGAATGATTTTAAGGTACGAATACCTAAATTCGTTATGGAGAGCGAACTGGATCTAGTTGATGCATTCGAAAGAATGGGAATCGAAACAATATTCACCGGAATAGCTGATTTTACCAGCATTACTGATGATTACTGGTCACTCTTCCTCAAACGAGCCAAACATAAAGCTGTTATTGAGGTTGTAAATTTTTGCAAATTCCTTCGAA